GCTCCCCTTTTAAGCATCAAAACCACAGTTTGAACATACAAATTTGTACTTCTAATTGAGTATAAACACATGGCAATTGAAACCATACTTAAACTTCAGCTTCTATTGGGGGCAACAGTTATTAAAGATCATTTCCACTGGATAACAATTGTATGAAACATCAGTTTGTTTATGATGCATTTGCACTTCCCATGAGGTTACGTGTTCTGCCAAAATTTGCCCTTTCCTATTGATGAATTTCAATACCTAGTGTCTATTTGACCTTGTTCTGTTTGTGCATTTTACTTCCCATTTTCCACAGATACTAAAATTGACCGTTTGCTTTTCTTGCAGTGTTGATCCTCTTCCATTAGGTTGTCCACTTTTACTCTACCATTCTACCTTTGAGTCTCCAGACGCTTCCGAACTTCTCATCTTTGTAAAAGTAAAAAATAGGGAAGTAGAAGTATATAGTGCACTATCATGGTTAACAGTGCTTGAACTCAAACTGAGGTCAGTGTAAGGGCAACAAATGGACATCAGCTTTCTTCAAACACAGCAAGTCAGATATTGATGGATGCAGCCAGCAGGGAGAAGTAAACTTATTTTCTGCATCTATTGCCTCTTCTCAGTGTTTCCTTTAGTTTGGTACAGTCATTTTCAACCAAGTTATAGAGGCTAGGAGTCAGAAAATTCCTCTCTACCACATGAAGAAATGCTAAAATGTCCCCGCTATTTGGACATGTGGCAAGGCTTTTCATAATTCATCTCTAAATCAGCATGAAGGGTTTCCTATAATTTAACGTTTTAAATAATGAACAGAAATTTTCTTTCATTAGCAACTAATTTTTTAAAGAGCCACCTCTATTTTTATTTATATTCACAGAGTAATAATTTAAAATGAATACCCTTAGGCCCCATAGATATTTTATATAAAAAGTATAAGAATTTGTAGCAGCTCATCTTTTACGTAATAACTGCAAAATATTTCTCTTCCATGATTAAGTGTTAGAAACCCTGGGATTGTTTTATGCTGGAGTAGGTGCTACTTTTAATGTGATACGCTTGGCAGTTATCATTTTAAAAATTGATTGGAGGTACAAATCACCAAGTATTAAACATAAGCTCCTTAATATTTTGTAGTTTCAACAGTGTAATATAATTACAGTTTGGTTGCTTTAAAAACAACAGTTAATCAGGTTGAAACAACCACTGTTCCTTAATTTCTGATAAGTTGGGGGTCCCCATTGCTGCTGCCGCTCATCTTTAGTGAAATCTTTTTTTGAGTGGGTTCCTTCAGAAATTAATTACTATCTTAGTTTTGAAAGGTAATTGCGTTTCCCCCTAAATTAAGCACAGCCTAATACGAATTGCCAAGCAGTAGTCAGATACTGTGGCATGAGCCTGCTGATCGTCACCAGATAGTCTTTTGCATTTGGATCCTGAAGCTGCACTTTAACTTTTTTGTTCTCACTTCCCATTTGTCTCAAGTATTAGGATTCTCTGGGGTCCAGACAGTCTGAAACAATGTGCAAGGCAGTCCTTTCCCTCCCCTTTTCCTAACCCAGCGTGGCCCAAAGCCTCAGCACGCTGACCTCCAAGGAGCAGCAGAGCCTCTCTCCCTTTTCGCATTCCACTGTCCCTGTGTACCGTTGCACCCAAGCCATCGCCTCCTGGCAGCTCTAGTTGAAACTTGCCGGCTTCCTGGAATCAGGATTTTTACATTAATAATAGTAGGCGTGAAATATTTTTATTAGTTTCCATTGTGTTGTAAAAAATTCATAGTAGTTAGTTATGGGGTGGATAGATACATTTCTATATTTGATTTTATAGTTTTAATACAAATTGATAATTTAGTAGAGATCAACAATCTAAAGTCCTCAAATCCAAGTCATTTTTGGATTTTTTTATTCTTGTGATTTGGGATTCTTTACAGTGCGACTTTTATACTTTTTTTCAGGCTTTAAAATTATCTAAACATCTAATTTATCTAGTTTTTAATTAGTTGTCTAAATGAGGCAAAAATATGTATATTTCTCACCCTGTTGCCCAGGCCGGAGGACAATGGCACGATCACGGCTCACCACAGCCTCAACCTCCTGGGTCAAGCATTCCTTCTACCTCAGCCTCCTGAGTAGCTGGGACTACAGGCACATGCCACCACATCCAGCTAATTTCAAAAAATATTTTTGTGTCAGTCTTTATTTTTCTCAATTGTATCTAATATCTTACATGTATATGGTTGTATCTAAAAATTACCTTTGCTAGGGCTGCTATAACGAAATACCACAGACTGGCTGGCATAAACACCAGAAATTTATTTGCTCACAATTCTGGAGGCCAGAAACCCTGATACCAAGGTGTTGGTGGGATTAGTTTCTTCTGAGACTCTCTTCTTGGCTTTTGTATGGCCAGCTTCTTGCTGTGTTTTCACATGGTCTTCCCTCTGTGCATGTCTGTCTCCTAATCTCTTTTTAAAGAAACCAGTCATATTGAATTAGGGCCCACCCTAATAAACTCATTGTAACTTAATGTCTTTAAAGTCCCTTTCTTCAAATAAGGTCATATTCTGAGGTACTGAGGGTTAGGACTTAAACACATGAATTGGAGTGGAGGGCATAATTCAGTTCATAACAGTGGCACTTTACAATTTTTTTGATATGTCAAAAAACAAGAATGTGTGAAGCATGTGTTTGTTTGAACTTGGTATCTACAAAGTGAGGAATCAGAGTTATAGCCAGGTCTAGATATATGCTTGAGGCAGAAGGCAAAACTGGAGCCTGAGTCTCCTGATTTGAGTATCATTATCTTTTCCACTCTACAGTGCTGGGAACTGAAGTAGAACTTGACAGCTGTACAAATTTTTGAATGTCTGGGTATATTAGATATACATATTTTGGATCCTGATCTATAAAATTCTGCCAGATCCCTGTTATACATTCCTTAGTCACAGCTTCCTGGCCTTTTTTTTTTTTTTTTTTTTTTACTACTTTCTCTTCCTGCTTTGTTCTCTGAATACTAGGTCAGAGTCTAGAATCATTGGTAAAATGTTTAAAATTTAGTTGATATATATAGTACACTTTTGCTATGGATAGAATATTAAGGCCCAAGGATTGGATTACTAACACCGAATCTTAGACTAAGTTTACATGTGCTATTTAAATACAAGATGATCATTTTAATTTGAGTTGTAGTTTTTTAGAATTAAAGGTCAATTTCTTTGAGACATCAATACTAACTACTTAAGAAAATGTGGGCTTAATATGTAGGGTAAATAAAGTATCTAGTTATAGTTAGGGTTTTTCATCTGAAAGAAAAAAATAGATACTACTGAGACAAACTCATCTATATTCTTTTTAGTGTTATTACACTGAAAGCACAACATGATTCTGCCCTTGGTCTTGATACAGTAGCATTCCTTATTGGTCAAATGTCTGAGAAGAAAGGCCTTTGTTATTTTGTAACTTTATTCTTTTGACTATGGTATAAGACAAACCTCCTCAAATTTATCTTAGAGCTGAAGAAGACTTTTCAGAGGATATGTAGTTCCTTCACTCTTATACACAAACCACATTCGTACACACACACACACACACACACACACACACACACACACTCTGCCCCTCCTACACTTCACACCATACACACTTTAGTGCCTGTTACCCATGGTTGTTTAGACTTTGAACTAGCAAGGACATATAATTTATAAGGCTGATTATTCCATCTCTGGACTAATTAATTCTTCTGAGGTCCCTTTTTTTTTCATTAGTTGGATATAGCCTCCCTTTGGTTTTCCTTTGTTTCATACTGGTCCTGCTTCTGAGTCAAAACTATGATCTTGTCCAGTGGACAAGTCTTTTGAATTATATCTTTACCTCTAATTAACTGTGTTCCTAAGAAATATAGTATCTCCAAGACTCAGTTACTCAGTTTTCTCATTTAAATAAAGAAAATAATAAATTCTACCTTATCAAGACAGTAGGATGATTAAATGTGACAATCAAAGCTTCAAAGGAGTGCCAGGAACACTGATGTCATTAACTTGCCCCAGTAAGTGACAGTTTTAGTCTCTTTCAATTCCACACTACCCCAAATTGTTTTAGGACAACTTTTAAAATATCTATCATACTCTTTCTTAGTTTCTGTTATAGTAACCTTGAATCAATTTTGCTAACTTTTCCTGTTTAAGATTACAAAATTTTTAAAAATATTGAGTGAATGCATTACTTGAAAATTCCAATCTTCTTAGTCAGTGCTTAAATGTATTTCTGGTACATTCATGATCAGGATTTTTTTTTTTTTTTTGAAAAAGCAGTATTTATTGAGAGGACAGAAAAGTTCCCAAAGAGGGGAGGAGACCAGAGGGCATTTTTTTATGCCTCTAGAGACTTGTTTTTAATAAAGATTAAATTTTTCTTTTCAAGACTGAGGATTTTCGACAATTTGGTCACCTGCTAATGGAACAGATGGGGGAAAGGGATAGTATAGAACCGCTGAGCTCTACTGCTGCTTTTCCCACAGTGGGTTACTCCACATGTTATCACTGCCTGGGCAACCGGTACTTCCTCCGCAGTCGTAGCTCAGGAAATAACTGCTCCCTCCCTCTCCGTCAGAAGTCATGCTAGTGGGTTAACATTCTGGTATTTAATTAGTCTGACTGGTTTGAGTTTATTCAACTCTGCTATGAGTCTAATGAATCTTTTTTCTCTCACCTTTTTTATCAGTCTCTTTTTGACCCAGGAGCTCATTCTTTTACTTTGTGCAGTAATTCTTTCCTCTTATGTGTTATGTAGAGCTTACATATGTGTCTATTTCAAAACTTTATAGCACTACAAAAATACAACTTATTTCCTGGATCAAATGAATATCCTACCTTTAAAAGGTGTAAATAGGAATATGTTTATGTTTTGTGAGACATCATTAAAATTCCAAGGAGGAAGTTTAATATAGATTGTAGCAGATGTGTTAATGTCTGTCTTTTTTAAAGCATCAAAATAATTACAAATATTTTCTTTTGAAAGTTGGCCAGGAATACTTTGTCCTGATACTTTTGAAGGGAAATATGTGATCTATGACTTGGATGGAAATGTTGAACAGTATCACATAGAATTCCTGGGTGATCCCCATTCAAGATTATGGATAAATGCAGCATTTGTTGGACATTATAGTATCACATTAAAGGTAAGTACAGTAACCTCAAATTTTATTCTTCTTGTACTTGTTTTTAATTGTAGTCATTATAATCTCAGATTCTAAAGTATATATAACTATTTACTTCTAGATTTATACAAACAAAATAATGTATACTATTTGCTTAAATTTAAAATATTTATCTTTTAAAGCATCTTTTGCAAAGAAAGTATGGATATAAAATATTGTGAAATTTAAATTTTTATTTTTCTAATGGCAATATAATAAAAATCAACTGAAGACTTTATATAATTGCCTTTTATAATAATTTTAACATTATCACATTTGGTAATTTTTAATTCTCTTGAGAAGACTATCCCTCACCCAAAGGGAAGATTAATTATGGAATTCATCCAGATTTTCAAGTTTCAAATGGAATATTTCATTATGCTAACTCCTTCAATATCTTTTTTACTCTTTTTAAACTTTAAATTTCACACTATAATTAATGAATAGGCTAGATTCTCAGGTTGATGAGAATAGGTGAATGGGCCTTATTTCTAAGGATTTGGTTTAATAAGTATAAATCAAATCAGTGATCTGCATTCATATTCTAATATTGAAATTTCATCTATAAATTATGCTTTAATTAGAAACCTGATAAAAAGTAGATGTTCAACTTTGACTTTATTTGGATGGTTTATTTTTTGTTTCTTTATTTTTCTTTTTTTCCTCCCTCCCTCCCCTCTTTTTTTACAAAACAGAGTCTCTCTCTGTTACCCAGGCTGGAGTACAGTGGTATGATCATAACTCACTGCAGCTTTGAACTCTTGGGCCTAGGCTGTCTTTCTACCTCAGCCTCCCAAGTAGCTGGGACTACAGGTGTGTACCACCATATCCAGCTCAGTGATTTCTTTTTTAGAGTGAGACTATACATATTCAGATATACACATAAGTATATATGCATTTAAACATACCATTTAATCCACAGTAAAGTTAAATCTGAAAATTTGAGGTACTTTATACATTTTTTATTTTTGAGTCAGGGTCTTACTCTGTCATCTAGAGTTCAGTGACGCAATCATGGCTCACCACAACCTCAAACTCCTGGGCTCAATCTCAGGCTTTCAACTTGCTGGGACTACAGGTCCACACCACCATCCCCAGCTAATTTTTGGATGTTTTAGAGAGACGTGGTCTCACTGTGTTGCCCAGGCTGTTCTTGAATTCCTGGGCTCAAGCAATCCTCCCACCTCAGCCCCCTAAAGTGCTAGGATTATAGGTATGAGCCACTGTACCTGACCTTAAGTTACTTTTCAGTGTTTTGTTTTGTTTTTTTACTGTATCATATATAGTATTTTGTACTCTTCAGTTTGAAAGCAGCTAAAAGAGAAGAGTGTTTTAGTGAAAACATTATTTAAGTATGGGATAGCACCAAATAAATCTATTTCATGGTAGTTGTGACCCGGTCATCTCAATATGAAGCGTCATTCCTGCTCTGATGTTTTGGACATGCTGCTAGACATTTCTGCTGGCAACTATAGAAAACAGAAAAGAATATTCATTCTTTGCCAGTCTCCCCTTTTCTAAAGGATAGGGAAATTTTGAACTCCTCATGAAGCTGATAGTAGCTCTTACCCAGGAATAGCTGAGATCTTTCTTTCCTTTGGAGATGGAGACAGTATTGCCTCCAGCTTACAGTTCTAATGCCCGGACTTCCCAGGGATGTAATCTTTTAGGTCTTCTCTGCTCTTGGGCTCCTCTATCCTCAAATGCTATTTCTATACTGTACCATATTGAGATATTAAATGCATACCTCTTGCCCCCAGAAAAAAGACCACTTAGACAAGAAATAATATGTAGTAGGCAATGTAGATTTTCTTAGGTTTTTTCCCTAGAAGAGATGGAGGAAGGATCTAAATTGTACAAGTTGTCTGATCACTTTTCTTCGGATGAAGAATTATATGCATTTATAATTCTCATTGGCTATCACTGACTAAATTTTTGCACATGATTTCAACATCATTTTCTCCTAATTTGTGTAAAGTTAGTGTAATAACTAATTAAATAATATTGCAGGATTTTCACTGAATATGGACTCTATGTATTTTGCAGTGCATATATTAAGTTAGGAGAGAAATAAGCTAATCTAGAACGATGGACCTGTATTGTATACATTTATGAAAAAAGTAAATTTTTTTGGTTTTGTATTGCAAAAATTATAACTATTTTCTTTCAATTCAATCACATTTGTCTAGTTTTTTAATAGTCAATTTAATGGTTACATGGTTGATTATTTATGAGACCGCTGACTTAATTAATTTTGTTATTAAGAGCACAGCAGTACTCAGTCACTGTCTAGTCATACAGATGATAGCATTTTCTCCTAATAAGACTACTCATTGATACATTGAGATATACTTTACGAAAAGTTGAAGGCAATATTTAGATAATAGATTTGTAATGTATATTTGTTTATTTACATATTTTATTTTTTAAATCAGTGAAGATAGCTGAAATTTCTCACTTATAAAGAAAACTTGATTTTATTTCAAATATTTAGAGAGAGGATTCTGGGAAGATGGTGAAGTACAAAGTACCAGGGATATAACTTCCTACCTAGACAATAATTACACTGGCAGAATCTGTTTGCTGCAACTGTTTTTGAACTATGGAGTTTACTGAAGGCTTGCAACTTTCAGGGGAAGGTCTGGACTGTATACTGTGGTTAATCTCAATCAACTTCAGCTCTTAGCACACTAGCAGATACCAATCCTCTACCCGCCGGCAGCTGGCCACAGGAACAGCTTGTACACAACTTGCAGGAGCTGAGGTGGACAAAAAGGACCCTGTCATCCAAATATTGGGGATCTGTGCTCTGATCACTGGTAACTGCTTATGATTACAGAGACAATAAAAAGGCAGCCATGTTTATTGCATCACCCCCACCCCTCATTTTTAGAAGCCCCTCTCCCTCCAGCTGCAGTGACTTCCAAAGGACTGGCACTCTTTCCTGCCACCCTTTCATTTTCTCTTTTCCCTTTTGGGAGCCATATGTTAGACAGCAGGACATTTGAAAACAACTGCATATATGGGGAAAATTAGAAAATGACTGCATGGGTGGAGGAAAAGTTCCAAATTCAGAAAAGATCTCAGAAGACTTGAATTCATACCTCAGGCTGATCCTTGACAAAAGACAACTTACAACAATAAATTTTAAAATATATATAACAAAAACAACAAATTTTGGGTAAGTAGAATAATCTGATTTCCAGAGTTAGCACATTATAAGACTCAACTGTCCAGTTTTCAACAAAAATTTACAAGGCCTATAGAGAAACAGGAAAGTGTGACTCATTCAAAGGGGAAAAAAGAATTCAACAAAAACTGTCCCTGAGATTGATCTGATGGCAGATCTACTAGACAAAGACATTAAAGAAAGTATCTTAAAGGTGCTCAGAGAACTAAAGGAAGATGTAGAGTCAAGAAAGTGATGTGTGAACAAAATAGAAATATCAATAAGGAGGCAGAAAAACTAGAAGGAAACCAAAAAGAAATTCTGGAACAGAAAAGTACAATAATTGAAGTGAAAAGTTCACTATAGAGATTCAAAGGCAAATCTGACCAGGTAGAAAAAGGAGTCATCAAACTTGAAGATAGGACAGTAGAAATGATTGAGTCTAAGAAACAAAAAGTAAAAAGATTGAAGAAAAGGGAACAGAGCTTGAGGGATCTTTGAGACACCATCAAGCAGACCAAAGTGCACACTGTTGGAGTTGTAGAAGGAATGGAAAGAGAGAAAGGAGCAGAGAGAATATTTGAAGAAATAATAGCTAAAAACTACCCAAATTTGATGAAATTGGATACAAACATTTGGATACAAACATTTAGGAAGCTCAATGAGGTCCAAGTAGAATGAACACTGAGACCCACACTTAGAAGCATTATAAGTAAGCTTTCGAAAAACAAAGACAAAGAGAGAATCTTGAAAACAGCAGGAGGAAAGTGACACATTACTTATTAAGGGATTGTCAGTAATAATACCTGAGATTTCTCATTAGAAAGCTTGGAAGCCAGAAAGCAGAGGGCCAATATGTTTATGCACGCTTTAAGAATGGGGATAGGTGGCAACCCCCTCAGGTCCCCTCCTACTGTTAGGTGATTTAATTGTTGTGCAAGTGTCATAGAATATACTTACACAAATTTAGGTAGTATAGCCTGATATATGTCTAAGCTATATGGTGTAACCTATTATTTCTTGGTTACAAACCAGTACAGCTTGTTATTGTACTGAATACTGTGGGCAGCTGTAGCACAATGGTAAGCATTTGTGTATCTAAACATATAAATACAGAAAAAGCAGTGTAAAGCTATGATATAAAAGATTTTTAAAATGATACACATGGATAGAACATTTACCATGAATGGAGCTTGCAGGACTGGAAGTCGCTCTGGGTGAGTGGTAAAGGGATATGAAGACCTAGGATGTTACTGTATACTACTGTAGGCTTTATAAACACTGTATACTTAGGCTACACTAATTTCATTAATCTTTTTATTTTTCAATAACACATTATTTTCAGTGTATTGTAACTTTTTACAAACTTTAAAATTTCTAAAAAAACTTTTTGACTCTTTTGTAAAAACTTTTTGCTTAAAGCACAGACACATTGAACAGTTTTACAAAAATATCTTCTTTTTCATATTTGTATTTCTTACCTTTTTCTATTAATTTTTTTTTACTTTTTAAGCATTTTTGTTAAAAACTAAGACAAACGCACACACATACATATTACCATAGGCATATAGACAATCAGGATTATCAATATCACTGTTTTCTACCTCTATATCTTGTCCCATTGACAAAGGACAATGACTTTTTCTGGAAAACCTCCTGAAGGGCCTGCCTGAGGCTGTTTTACAGTTAACTTTTAAAAAATATGTGTAAGTAGGAGAAGTATACTTTAAAATAATGATAAAAAGTATGATCTAGTAAATGCATAAACCAGTAACATAGTTGTTTATTATTATCAAGTATTATGTACTGTGCA